TATATATATATATATATATACGCCAAGAGTAAAATTTATAGTAAAAGTCTGTGAATGTAATCTGCTAAACAAAGGAGAATCTCACTTTGAACACAATACATACAAAAACCAAATTTGCATATGACTTCCATTCACTCGTGCTGAGGTAGGAGAAACCTTGGGCCATTGCCCGATTTGCTGACAGTAAAGATAGTTTTCCCATTCCTGGACATCACATGCTATCTTTCCTGCAAGAAACTGGTTAATAGCCAATTGGTCACGAAATACTGATCAGAGCTTAAAAGACACAAAGTTGCTTTATTTAAGCAATTTCCCATGTCCAAACCGAGATAAAGAAAAATACATTGTTAGATGAGATGATACTAAGAGGTTACGGCCACTCCCAGGCTTGAATGAGAATGGTGAGTCACTTAGTTAACACTGGTCGCCATGGGTAAAGTTGACGCTTTCCATCAAGTAAGAAACATTATATTTGAACATTCTGGAAAAGATCTTTACAAAATTAAATATTTTGGTTCCTAGTTTAAATTGAATTGGTTAACGAGAATGCAACTCGAGGGAAAAAAGCCGGTAACCAATTGATGCATCCAGAAACCAGGTACACACACACTATGTTTATGTCTTGGTGATAAATAGTTTTTATTTTAAGCTTATGCTCGGTATTACTTCCTAATTTAACCTGTCTGTTCTACTTAATACTTATTGTGAAATATCAGTTTAAGCTGAATATAAAACAGTATTGTGTGTATCTTTAAACGCTATTTATGATTCAGACCTTACGAATTTTTCAAGAAATGTGTATGATAGTAATTCAACCAAACTATGCCTGCCACATCCATTGCTAAGGACACATTTCATTCATTATCAGAGTTCATCAGACTGGCTGCCATACAACAAATAGCACTGTAGTCAGTACGTCGCTTATACAAAACATTTGTCAAAATAAATTTTACGACGTCAATGCCTTTAGATGGCAAAGAGTAGTACTTAATGTTTTTCGCCATTTTCTTAATGATGCGAGTTCATCTTTTACATAAAGCATTGTGTACAGAATGTCACATATGAAAAAAAATTTCTCGACCAATGTTAAAATTTCAAGTTGCAGTTTATAATGATAAAGCACTTCCATTTTGCTATTCGATTTCCTCATGAATATATCTGAAAGCGCTAAAATAAACTAGTAGTTAAACCGATAAATAATGTAAAACAAATATTAGTTAATACTAAAGACAATATACAGTTAACGGTAAAATAGATTGTGAATATGGAAATATATATATATATATATATTGGACAGACAAAAAGTAATTTAAAATGTCGTTTAGCAGAACATAATGAGTAAGAAATGAAAGGATTGAAAATCCGGCAACAGCCGAACATGTATAAAACACACAACATGAGATATTAGGGGGAAAAAACGTAATATTGGTTCAACCAAAGGGTATTAGAGTCAATAATATTCGTGAATCTTAGGAAATAATAATATCTAAAAAACAGAGACGAATATCTGGGTAAAAATGTAGCCAGACCTCTAAGAATTATGCAGAAATAGTAAACATACACACAGGTTCCACAATCTAATTATGAAAGAATAAGTATGATACTATCACATCTTGCACGTTCAGTGAGATAGACACCAAAACATGAAGTCATTTTAGAGATCACAGACTGTCCTAAATTAAAAATGTATATATTTTAACGTTGTGTTATATATTATTTTAACATTATTCACAAGTGCCAAGACAGCTGTTGTTTTAACACTTTCAATGCTTTTCATCCTTTGCTTATCTATTTCTGTCTTTTTATTTTACATTTTCAATTATTTTGTTCACATAGAATCAAGTATATATTTTATTTACACACTAGAGGTGTTTAGCCCCCTGTCCAATTGTATTCCTGTTACAGCATTTGTCAATGAGCAGTTCATGTCGCGAGTAACCCTCTAGAATTCCAAACCACCTACCATGGGATGCAACCAGCCACCCTTAACCACTCTTTATTAATTGGGAATAATTTACGTATATATATATTAACACCACGTACCTAAAGTAAATAACATTATTTCAATACTATTACTTCTACTACTGTTCTATGTTTAAAGATTTTGGCAATGGCTCTCCTCAAGATTCTTTTAGAAATAACGAACAATTCAATTTGACTAAAATAGCACCTGTCCTTTTCACAAGCTTTCATTCTCACTCCATTTACATACATCTATCCTCTTTCTTGCAATCTTCCAGTTTATCAGTGTGGTCTCTGCTCTATATGCTACTTCACTGATGACATCAGAAATCTTACCAGTTTGTCCAAGGGCTGCATTTTCCACCTAAGTGGTTCATTTTTTCAATGAAGATGTCACAGGAGAAAGAACATAGATTATCATCAGATAGGCCTCCAAGTGTCTCGTAGGTTCTTACTCGTGTTCTTTGGACAAAACTTATCCCCAGTCTTGTGATGAGGTTTAGGGAGTCTGTCAAGAATATGAATCACTCATGATCTTCACTGTAAAAGGATCGAACAAGTTCTCATTTGACTTGCATTCTGCTGTCAATGAACAGGACCACCAAGTTTTGACATATGACTTTTTAAATAATAGATATCTGTATATCCATAAATTAAAAATAATTTTTCTTCAGTTTTTCACTTCCAGTCATTACCCCTTTAGTGCTTTCAGTTGACAGCACAATTCCAACATACATTCTGTCAATTAGTAAATAGTCCAATTTGTACCTTAAATTCTACATTCACTATAATGTAGATGATAGTTGTGTGTGTGTGTGTGTGTGTGTGTGTGTGTGTATACATTCTCACAACAAACTGTTTAATATTTACTTTGCAATTCCAAATATTTTGGATGGGCCTAAAACATTTTTGTCAATTCATATGAATTTCATTTAGAACCAAATATGCAGTTTCTTTAAAACCAGTATGTGAAAAGTAAATCATTTTTATGGGTGTGCAGTTGTCATTCAGTTTCTACTGTGAACTGATGCAATGTAAACAAAATTTATATAAGTAGTTAGTTTAATTATTTACTATGGAATTTACTTGTATTTAAACTGCTGAACTAGAACCTCTATAAAATTATTTTCACTTTACTAACATAACTTAACCTTCATTTCTGTAAAAGATTGTATCATTCAGTTACTTTCTTCTTCTTCTGTAACTACGTGCATGCCCCAGAAATGCTGTAAAATACGTTCTAGAAGTACACTAAAATGTTTGTGAAGTGTAGGCTTATTTTCTTTTTCACATTACCCCAGATACTAGACACACAAGTACTAAACTGAATGTGCATTTCTGCTACTTTTTTTTTTATTAAAACCTATTTGAGTATCACTTGTTAGGTAACATATACTTCAAAAACTCAATATTTGCCAATTCAAATTAAGTTTTATTGCTTTGCATAAACACTAAAAATATCACTCATATTTAATCACTGCTCAGTTCTTTAAACATCCATTAGTTTTATCAGAGAGCACTATGCTGTTTATATTCTTCAGCTGTTACATTTCACGTTGTTAGTACCACAAAATCTAACTTTTCAGTGGAGTGAAACAAGATAGGTCAACTGTGACAGAAAGCCAGGTCACATCTTCAGCCCACAGTCAGCATTAGCTTCTCTCACTGATGGCTATTTCTGTCTCACTAATGAGAGGAAAAAGTTTTTTTAAATTAGCATATAATAAGCATAAAAACATTTTGTCATACAGCACTGGACTTAAACATGTTTAATCAAAATATATTGATTAGACTGACAACAAATCAAATACTGGCTAACAAGTCCTAAAACAGAATATTATTAAATCTGCAATTTAATTTTTCTGCCATCAATTGATAAAATCTTAAAAATTAGGACAATCTACTCTAAGTCCCTTCTATAACAACAATTTTATCAACTTGTAATGTATGGCTATTTTCAACTTTCCATAATCAAGTTAATACACATTATCACAGAAATAATACATCAATAACACAACATAATATGATACTGCTGAAATCATCAATGTTATAAATAATATCAACTGGCTGATAGAGTAAACAATATATCTTTTAATACCATTCCAACAGAATAAACATAAACTAGGCATGCAGTTCATATAGATTTCATACAGTAAAAAAAGTAAAAAATTAGATTGCTGTAACAGTACTTATGCAAGCATTAATTTTTAAGCTTTAAAAAATAATAGGACCACACAAATTTTGGTTTAATAAAATATGAAATATTTCTTACACTACCAATTCTCAGCTCCAATGGAAAATCCCACAATTCTCCAAAAGCAGATTAAATGCATGTAGCAGTTTAAAAAACAATTTATAATACTTAATTTCGTTTGTTTGTTGTTAAACAAAAAAGATACATAATAAACTATAAGTGCTGTGCCTAACACAGGTATCATAATTCTACATTTGAAAGTAAAACCCCCCTGTTGTGAAATAAACAGCACAGAGAAGAAAACTAAAGCTTTTAAATCTCAAGTTACTCATTTATGCTACTCACTAATACTTGGGTAAACATACTCCACCTCACAAAGCAACTTAATGTCTTTGCCTATTACAAAACTTGGTGTAAAGAACTAGCCAAAAAATAATTAAATGAAATCACCTATCTTCTTTGTAAAATATACTGGAAACCCCAGCATAAATTAACATTTATGTTAATCTTGTTTTAGAGGTTTTGTATGTCACTCATGTTTATAGTGATATTAGGAAACCCAGCAACAGCAAAGTAATTAACCTAGAAGAATTCTGTGTGTGAATATTTCAGAGAAATGTGTGTAAAAAGCTAAATTTGTCAGCATGGACCCCCAAAAACAAAGATATTCTGCAGCTAAACCCCATTACGAAAAACCACTGTGAATTAGGGTAAGTATAAGATAAGAGATGAACACTCATGAAATTGGAGTACAAAGGCATGAATATAAGACAGGTGCTTGATAAAATATGTAAACTAAATTAGATTAAATAGAATACAATGCTAAACCCAGACTTATCAGGAGAATGTGTGATTAAACATAACTGCATTCACGTGCCTAGAAAAGTTAAAACACTTCCACTAGAAAAGTTAGATTTAATGAAACAGTCATGCATATATATCACAATATAACTAATTGAAAACTTTACCTTATTTAGAACAAGATCTTGCTTATGTATTTCTGAATTCGTTGGAATGACGAAAACCCACAAATGCTCGGTCACCTATCTTATGAAGCATCTCTGAACATGCTAGTCTTCAGCCTCAGAGTGAGTACCTACTAAAAACATGCAAGTGTTTCAAGATATAACCAGAAAAATTATGTATTTTTACTTTTTAAAGATACTAATTAAGAATTAAAAGTTTCGTATGCGTTAGTATCAAATATTTGTTCAGCTATACTTAGCCTACCTAAAAAAAAACGATATGTGACTATTACTTTTACTTACCACTAGATCCTCTCTTTAAAGTTGTATTCTAATATATGAAAATTTTGGAGCATTTCCAATTAGGAAAATGTTTTGCTACACTTTTTTTAAGCCAACCTGTATACTGTGATAAAAAAAAATTGTAACTAACGCTAATTTATTACTTGTCTAAACTTATTATCCAAGATATTAAGTGAAGTATTAGTAAATATGAAGGTTTTCAGTATATATTAATAACATTAAGTATAAATAATGGCAAGTTTGCAGCAAATAATATACTTGATGTATAACCAGTATGCATCATAAGACAATTTAGAATCAAAATGCAAACTAAATTCTATATATCTATAGTGGCACCTCTGTAATCATCTTTACTTTTTTACATGAAACTAAACCAAAGTTTAACATCTGCTACCATGTTTTTTCCTTACTACAAACCTGGTGAAGGTCCCAAAACGTAATTTTCAACTTTGTCAATTAACTTCAGTTTGGCCCATCCCTTTACTTTCTCCTACATTTTCTATATTACATCCCACCAAGTTACAGTATTTATTCTACAACAGAAACTGGGTACTAACATATAAATTATGCCTCAAAGTACATCGGCAAACAAAGCTTCATACCAGTGTTCCTTTAATACCAACTGTAGATCTTGTTTGTTGCCACTTTCTACATAGTACAGTGAATGTATCCATGTGCAATGTATTTAACTATAAATAAACATACATACATTATACTTATATAAAATGTTTCAACATTCTAACCCTAGAATGAAACCCTCATGTTTACTATCAGTAAATACTTGAATAGGCCAACTGTGTGTAATCTTATACAAATTAGCAATCTGTCGATCAATACTATCAGTAAATACTTGAATAGCCCAACTGTGTGTAATCTTATACAAATTAGCAATCTGTCAATCAAGGTCTTTGAAGTTAATTATTTAATATACACGTATAAATTCAAATATTTATTTAAAACCAAAGTTTTTCTTTCCCCACACACACCGTTTTAGGTACTTATAAATAAGCCGTCTCTTTTTACCTTCGTAAAATCTTTGCAGTAGAGCACAAAATCTGAGCAAAAATTCTTTAAGTGAAAAGTTACACAACGGGCTACATGCACTCTTTCAATTACGGAGAATCGCAAAACAGATTTTAGTAGCCAAAGTCCAAAACACTTACTGCTCACCCACCAAAGAACATGTGCAGAAGTTAACTGATGTTTGTGAAATTTATGACTCTATTACTGATAGCAAAGTTTTTAAATTATCTCTTCACGTATTGAAAAAGATCAATGATTATGGTTTTTGGGAATAGTTTGTTTTGAATTTCGCACAAAGCTACACGAGGGCTATCTGTGCTAGCCATCCCTAATTTAGCAGTGTAAGACTAAAGGGAAGGCAGGTAGTCATTACCAACCACAGCCAACTCGAGCTACTTTTTTACCAATGAATAGTGGGATTGACTGTCACATTATTATGCCCACACAGCTGAAAGGGCGAGCATGTTTGGTAGGAAAGGGATTCAAACCTGCGACCCGAAGACTGTGAGTCGAGCACCCTAACCACCTTTTTTGGAATAGTATCCAATTCACGAATTGGGAAAATTAAGGCCATTCATAAAAATATTATTGTAAATAAACGACACGACTCATTTCACTACTTCTAAAACTGAAATAAACATTTAACTTTAAAACCCAAATGTTGCTTTTCAAAGTGGCAAAACAAACAAGTTTTAGAGAATTTAAAGTGTACCCCAAAAATGACTAATTACAAATATAAATGACAAATAAATGTCAACATAATTTCTTTGCACATATATAAGTTCCCTAACTTGCTGAATCATGACTGAAATTAAAGCACCATATTACTTACACACACAAAATATACATTATAAAACCCTTGTTTCTGAGGGTCCATTCAACATGAGCAATGTAATGGTTAGTTTACAAATCCTCTAGTATTTGAAGGAAACCCCCACAACTATGTTTTATTCCTAAATACAAATGGAATGTTAGTTTCCAAGAAGTCTCACGAGAATATTACTGATAAACAAAATTCATCTACCTATAACCTCAGTTTCAACAAACTGAAGTATTAATTTGTAGTTTTTCAGAAAACATACCGTTCAACTAAGGGTAACAATGAGTAATATAAACAATTAACATGCAACTAAGGGTAACAATGAGTAATATAAACAATTAACATGCAACTAAGGGTAACAATGAGTAATATAAACAATTAACATGCAACTAAGGGTAACAATGAGTAATATAAACAATTAACATGCAAACAAAGTACTAAAGCACTCTGCATGAAAGGCTAAAAAAAAAACAACTAATCTTCCAAAACATGCTATCACTTCCTTTCTATAAATTAAAAACAAAGTCAAATTCTATCACATTCACAAAATGTTCAATTGTCCAAATGATAAAAGACATAACCGATCATTTTGAAAAACATCTAGTTTATAGCTTTTTCACTCTATTCTTCATCACTTTAAAATCAAGTTCAAATCATAACATTTATTTCAAGAAAAAATGATAATCCATGCAAGTGTTAGTTAAGAATCTTGTGTAAGATTCTAATCACCAAGAAGTAATTTTGTGAAGAACAAGTTACCATTTCCACCCTTCCAAGTGTAAAACTTCTGATCACCACCAGAAATGACAACACAAATTCATTGCACCAATGAATATTAGGTATAAAGCTTCTGACAAGAAATGTTGTGAGACGGGTAGAAATACACTGATATTTCTACACATGCTGTTTCTGTTGCATACAAAGACTGTACAAGATAGTCACTTCTACTGTTCCTTCGATAAATAGCAAACTAGTCAATAACGCTTCCTCTCTAACCAACCATTACACACTCACGTTTAAACCATTTCTAAATGTTATGTTTGAGGTACTTATATTTAAACTCTAGCCTTGTTTGTAGAACTAGGTACACTAATGTTGAAGAATAATAGATAAAAAGTTATTTCCTAAGACAATATCACTCACTTGTTACATACCTATGCTACTTCCAGTTGAATAAAAACAGCAAGTTATACCAACCTCTCCTTTCTAGCTGACTCCAGATCTTAACATTAATTTTAAATAGCATATCAGCTATAAAATAGCTGGCAGATCTTCTGAAAGTCTTCCTACCATACTTCTTTAACCTCTCTTGCTAGCTGACTTTTGAGTAGAACATCAGGTAGGTAATTAAAAGCCAAACTGATCATACATCTGGTTTGAAGCTAAAACTGTGACTATGCAAGGTAAATTTACAAGTTCTCCTTAGCATTTCTTTCCCCTCATCTAGTTAGCGAGGTAAATTTACAAGTTCTTCTTAGCCTTTTTTTCCCCTCATCTAGTTAGCTTGTAGAAATTATATATATAAATGAAAACTATTTTCATTTAATTATCAATGTACTTTTTTTTTTTTAAACAGCCACTTGATTTTAGAAATGCAAGAATTTGGGGTGTTCTGTCAATTTAACTTTGTAAAACATGCTTATCACAAAACAATACTGGTTCGAGTATAACAGGTTCAAATACATTTACTAATGTGTATTTCCTTTTGTTAAAGCTTCTGTAGTTCTATTCAAGGCTGATAATTCAACATTCTTTAAAAATTAGTCATCCTATAAAATATATTGTTTTAAATATTTTACTTTCCACACATACTTATGATCAATTTTTTTACAGCTTATGTGTAACTTCTACAAAACTTGAAAGGGAAGGTCGTTTCTGTCAATAAATTTAGGATTAAAGAGAAATTTTTCTCTTCTAATATTTATCAGCTCTTTTATGAATGTGTGAATTTCGTTAGTAAGATAAAACCTTCTTTTGGACTAATAAAAAGTTACATTTATATATAAATGGGCCAAACTTCATTCCCATTAGAAATAATAAAATATCATAAACCTAACACAAACTTGTACCAGTGTTGGTGTTAATCATCTTCAGAGTTCTATTTCACTAGTCCATGTTACCCATACCGAATTTGCCACATCAATAGCTTTTTTTTTGCAACAAACAGTAAATTTTTTTTGTAGAGCAATGCAAGATATATGGTGAACAATATCAGGTGTTGCTTCTAGGACACGTACTTGGTTTATTTACAATATTATGATTGCGCAAAGTAATCGTCTACTTACATACTAGTTCATGCACACAAAAAATAAAAGTATGCATTTATTTTTTCGTGTAAATCTGCTCTTTGAAATGCATAATGAACGACTTTATAATGATTCGTTGTGACCGGAAAATGCCAAACAGTAATTAGCTCATTTTGATATGCAAAGGAATGTAACTGGCTGCATTATGACATCATTTTGGTTTTGCAAGAGATTACCTTGATATTATGGAATATCGAAAATGACGGAAAAATGAAAGTTACGAAAACGTTCAAAAAGTGGTTAATTTTCAAAAAAATTATAAAAATACAAAGAAAAGAAAAAGGTGCAGAGAAAACAACTCCAATGCAAGTTTTGTAAGTGAATGTGTACATACACAAATGAAGCAAACTGCAGTGATTCAATTTACTGTTTCTTCAAATAAAAGTTAATTGATCATGGAGAAGTGAACTATTCAAAAGCGCTCAAGTTTTGGGTCTCATTTGAAAACCATTACAACTTTTGTGTGTGATCCTGTGTGCTAACTTCTTAATCAGAAGTTAACTGATCATGTTATGCTTTTATGACTCATGAAGTTGCTACCTGCTTCATTACATGGATGGCCCACTTTCTGGAAGTCAGTGGATTTGGCCCACTCGAGAAAAATCCTACAAGCAAAACTGAATATCTGGCAAGACTTAACATGATTAACAGTATGTTTAGTAATCCGTAATAAGGTAATTTGAAAATTTTCAATTATCTGTAGAGAAATAAAATTCGTATATAAAATTTATTTCTATTTGAAGACTTTTCTGTGACAATGTTTATAGAATGAGAAGGAAGAATAAAAACGAATCTAGTAATCTATTTTGTTAATGTACTAAACTACTAATGAGAAGTCCTTGCTTTTGTAAGTTTTCAATCAAAAGTTCCATTAAAACTTTTGTAATATAATTCAGTGTTTTGTTAGGTTAAAATAGAAATTTTACTGATCCAAACAAACCATATGCAGCAATTAGATTTCAACAAATTAGCATCTCAATGAAGAGACATCCTGATAGTATATCGCATTTTCATGTCTTTCCTACGGAAATGTAATCCCACCAATAAATGACATAGTAATAAATCCCCAAACTGAAAATTTTACAAATGACCTTAACAAAAGCCTCGATGTGTTTGTGTGTGTATATATATTTTACACAACAGTAAAACAGTTTACAAGCATATACTTACAACATGGCACCCCAATGTGATCAAAAATTTAATGCCCCGTACTTTGTTAATAACGTTCATTTAGAAACTAAAGCTCAGTGATGGTTTGTACTTCATTACCACAATTTTTTTTTTACCTTTTTGCTTCTAACCCTCCATATTACAGTATTATTTCCTGATTTTTCATCATTATGGAATTTTACATTGTATACCCTATCAACCTTTCACTTCAAGTCATGGAATGTTCATGCTATCACACTGAAAAAAACCACATCTTAAATTGAAAATTTTGCACCTTCCGCATTGTGTCTAACAAAATATTAGTTTTCTTCCTAGTTATTTAAAAACTTGGATCCACAAAAAAAAAAAAAAATTAACTAGTTTTCTTCTCAAGATACATTCAACAAGGCTTAAGAACAATCTGAATTATTTTACTCCTAATCTATTATCAAAAATTATTTTGTAACTAAAAATCCAAATATTTTCTCTTACAGTAATAGTACTTTGTTCTTCCATTCAGCCTCACTTATGTTTGAATCTGAAGTTTGATTATTTTATATTAAAAAAATAGGTATTTGCAGCGAGATGAATTAACACTGTACTTCAATCACTAACACATAATTAAAATTATAATGTATATATTTTCTATTAACTACAGAAATTTGAACACTGTTTTATAGGGTAAATTTTACCTGATGTATCTAATAATGTTTTGCCATTTTCTAAATCAAAATGTGAAATTGAAATAATTTATAAAAATGTGATCTAGTGTGTTTCCTTTCTTAAACTGAGTAACTGTAGTAAATCCATGAAACCTAGAGACCCTCCAGTGATTTGGATGACTGAACTATTTTTATTACCACAACAGGGAGTTAGCCAGTACTCACACAAGCGGAATGTACTACAATGCTGTATTAACAATAACAACCATACGACCACTGACAAAAATTGGAAAATGAACAATATCATATAAAAACTCATGATTCATTCATAATTAAAGAATATTTTCAGGGTCTTTCATGTCCTTTAGATACGTTGTGGAAAAGTAAATGTGATGAAGTGGTAAAAGAATGAAGATTTAAAAACCAACATATAAAATAGCATTGGCTAACCTACACTCCACTGACAAAAAAATTCAAAACATACACTAAGGGGATGATTAAGCTAAGACTTGAGTCTGCAGTGTCAGTTTCATTTTTATTCTCATTTTAATGGTATCAATTGTGTGCATGTAATGGGTAACAACTGAAATTCTTCTATGTGGCTGACTGTAGGATAAGATGACCTAGCTGATGGTTCCTGTCAAGCTGAAACCTGTAAGTTGGCCTGCCGTCTTCCTGCCTCAAACATAAGGTACCTACAGCCTTCTCTGAACCCTGCCTGCCCTGAAGATCATGGTTACAACTGTGTTCTGGTAGCTGCTTAATACATCCCTAAATCAAAATGTAAAAGACATTAGCTCAAACTGACTTCATAAATAAGTTTCTAAACCTCTTTTCTTCACTCAGATGGCAGAATAAATGTGATAAACTAAGCCTACTTTGTCCAATAGAGTACCCTCTTTTTACCGTTCAGAATAAAATGTTAATGACAAGATAATGAGAACTCCTCAGAACCAATTTTTCAGATTAAGTTTCTAGTTAATTTTATACAAATGCAATATATTGATTCATTCCATAACTAGGGACGAAACACAATCTTTAAAACTAACCCAAAAAAATCCTAGTAGCTGAATATTTGTTGCTCTTTTTTAAGTAAGAGAGAAAGAAAAAACAAACATTACACAAAACCATACCCTTTGTACAATACTGTTTTCCGGACTCAAAACCTTCTAAAACCACCATAATTGCCACCGCCGCCGCCACCACCACTTCCATAACCACCTGGAAGAAACAAAAGTGTATCTTGTTATATACAAATATTCTATGAAATTTGATTTACAGCATGAAAACTATTAATATTTAATGATCTCATGGGATGTAAAAATATTGATGTCACAGCAACAGATAACTCTAAGAATTTAAAACAAACCTACGTAAAATCTAGTCTCCATTCACATATTTTCAAAAACTGTTAAAAAAAATGTTCATTGCATTGTACAGCAATGTGTACATGAATACTTACTGAACAAGTATTCATTGTGTAAAAGTAAACTTTCCATTAATTTGTGGGAGGAAAATAAAATGAAAGACATGTAGATTCTCCACATCAGCACTCGTTCTTGCATGTTTATCACGTAGCAACACACAAAAACCAAAGTGGAAACTAAGAAATATTTTTATGTTAAAGAAAAGATTTCTCATTAACTCCATCTTCTATCAAATTTTATGAATTAAAGGATATACAAAGAATCTTCAAGCATCATTTATTGGGAATGATAAATTATTCAAACCAAAATTTCATTAAAAACAAAAATTTATACATTAACACACCAAGTTCATTGCATGAATACGAGTCTAACTGCATGTTGATAAGTAATACTGCTTTTCAAAACTCAAAACAAAGGTTAGAATGTTGGGAGTTGTTGTAATATCAAACAAAGCACATTTCATAGAAATAGAAGTACTACAGATACATTTTATCATTTGCTCCTCCTTACCATTATCTAGTAAACAGTATAAAAACATGCACAAATATATGTGTAACAAACCTCCATACGGTCCACTTCCTCTCTGTGTAAAACTACTTCCACTTTTCATTGCCCCACCTCCATAACTGCCACCATATCCAGCTCCAAAATCACCACTCCAAGCAGGGCCTATATATAAATTGTTTGGTAAAATTACAACTTCACACAAACTAGGAAACAATTTTCAAACCTGAAGCACGATCACAAAATGATAATGAGCACACACACACATCTTGAGTAGTTGTATTACATCTCATAGTAATCTTAAAAAGATTAGTTTTAAAAGTCAGTTGTTGTTTTTTTAATTTTACTCTACAAGTAGCTTTCTTTATGTCTGGGCCATTTAATAAAAAAAAACATTTTTTGCTCATCTACAACTGATCAAGTTTTATTTTGTACTAACTTCTTCACGCTTAAAAGTTCCTACCAACAAGAGATTTTGTTTTCCTGCATAATTTAAGTTACAAAGACAATAAAACATTATATATATAAATATTGTTTATCATGCACTCCTATTATGATTAAAATTTAAAATACTACACACATACAACCTAGAATGATAACTTGTAACCATGTGTGTATGTAGTTTAAAACACGAGGGTATTGTGGAACTCACCTTGTTATAAATGCTATACAAGTATTTAAAAATAATTCCATTAATAATAGAGATATTTGGGTAAATTTTAGGTAATGCTGAAAAGAAAATGTATGTAGTGTTCAAGCATCCTAATGATAAACTTCAAAAAATGATTAAAATTATCAATAATACCCAATTGAAAACTCACTTTGTCCAAAACTACCACTATAGCCTCCCATTCCTTGATTGCCATAACTTGGGCCACCACCATATCCTCCTCCAAATGCTAAGAATGTATAAAAGCCAAATCCACATGAAAATAATCATAAAATGTGCTCTAAATTTATATTATATATTAAAACAAAACCTTCAACTTAATTTAAAGAACCATACACTCATGTACCCTTTTTCTCTAAGAAATAAGAATCTTTCCTGCAAAGTCTGTTTTTAATCAGGTAATATCAAACTACATAATTTAATTTTGGCTCTACATACATGCATACACACAATATTTACAAGTTTTAAAGCAAGCACAGTTAATCATCAACAATAATAGTTATACACAATAAAATAAATGTATAAAACCCTAGAAAAGCATTGCCTAGTCTTACCTTGTCCACCATAGGCACCATCTCCCATGCCTTGTCCACCACCTCCATATGAAGAACCCCCAAAGTCTCCTCTTCCACCTGTTGGAAAAATGAAGGTAGCATCAGCTTCAAGTTACCAACTTTGTGAAATAATATTCGATATAGAAAATATTAGGAATTTGAAACAATCAACTGCTGTTTTCCTGTTTTCTAATAAACTTGTACTACGATCAAAAGTTATTAGAAAGAGGTTATGCAAACTAACTAGCAAACCTTTAAGGAATTTTTGGTAGTATTATCATTACTATTTTAAAAAAATTTACCAACACACAAGACAATAGATTAATTCTACACCATTCAACTGTTGGCAATAAATATATATCTTAAAAGTTATAAATGTCATGAACTACACACTTTGCAATCAACTTTTTAATCTATGAGAGTTGTTTAATTCATTAGACTTAATTATGTCAACATTTTTCACTTACTAAAAGAAGCTAATGCATGTTAAAATTTTTTATTAAAGGCTTACACTGAGCTAGAAATGAATAAATTAAACTACCTTTCCAATCAATGTGGGAAAACAAACTAGTAATTCGCATTTTGAAACAAAAATTCTATCATTTTCTTGCAAAGTGTGGAGAACTTTGTAATGTTAAAAATTGTTATTGATCTAATAGTTAATACAATATGTCAATAGAAGCTGAAATTTCAAAGACAGCAATATGTTTCTAATAAAATTGTACGAGAAAAAGCTGCCTAGGATCTACTTTTCTACTTCAAATTCTGTAATATGAAAGTTAACAAATTTGCTTTAAAATATAAACAACCTCTTCCTCCTCCAAATGAGGAACTATTTCTTCCTCCTCCCCCTCCTCCTCCACTTGGCCCACGACTTCCTGAACCTCTCATCCTAGCTGTTTCTAATTCTTGCTTGGATAGAGCTTTTTTAACTTCTGTCTTCTTTCCTTTCAGAATATGGTGTTTTTTCACTGAAGATGATAAAAAAGTTATTCATATCATGTTTGCAAAATGAAGACACTCCAAGTTAAAAAATCATTAGCTTGAAAGTGAGGGAATTCCAATTGTTGATTTAAACTGCTAATTGTAAAGCATTTAACATTTAAATACTCCAAATATCTTTATTTCAAACTTAATAAGTATGAAATATAGAATATAAAATGCATCTACATGTTTAATGAATGTCTCTTGATTTGACAATCATTGTATAATAAACATTATTCTACATAGCATAAAAAGAGAGACAAAGTAATATAATTTGTGTAACCTATATGCTGATCATGTAAGTAACAACTTGTAGTTACAGAAGTTGTGCGTCACAACAATATATAACTATGTTACATAGTGGTATTTTTTTTCATCATAATTCATGAATTTAACAAAAAAAATCAAACTTGTATTTCAGAATGTCCCAGTGGTTATGATGTATGGTTGAAATGTCTGTTCAGATTTGGAGACTTTTATGAGTTACTTCTTATTAATGAAAGGTTAAAGTTGGCATAATACTGTATAGCTGCAGCAAAAAGATTATTCTGGATATGAGAAGAATAATAATGAATGTCTTGTCTAGACAACAAACAAGAAAGAACTGCAAGTCAGCCTTTACTTTATTGTTTAAATTTATTGATCTTGACAATATCCTAATGTTTAGAAATGTTATCATTAATTATTATTGCTATTTAGTGGAAAGAACATTTTACTATGTACCAACTAGCAACAATTTATACAAGTAACAACAGTAATTTCAGCTTCCTTCCAAAATTAGGAAATAATGTAACTGATCTTACAACAACAACAAATACCAGTACAAACAAAAACCAAGTCGTATCAACAGTACATCAGACAAGTTCAGTTTACTTACACACAATCTTATCCACTGGATCATAGTCATCAAATTCCACAAAAGCAAAGCCACGCTTCTTTCCTGTAGACTTTTCAGTAACAATATTAACATTGACAATGTTACCATATTGTCCAAAATGATCTCTAAGGTGTTCCTCTTCAACATCATCTTTCAACCCCCCAATAAATATTCTTTTTACTGTTGCTTGTGCTTCTGGTTTTCCACAATCCTAAAAATAAAATAAAGACATAATTAGTTACACTAATTTTCTTTGTCTACTGAAACAATTAAATAACTCACTCCAAGGCTCAGATTTTGTAAGATAACTAACTCGCGACCAAACATTAAATCTACATATTCCAACATTAATTCTCACTACAGAAAAAATAGTTACAAGTCTTCAGCAGGAAGAAATAAACCCAATTTCAACGATGAAAAATGTCACAAAACTTAAATAACCATTACCAGGCAGGATTAGTTTTATGCTAGAAAGACACCTTTCATGAACTTTTATAATATTGACAATTCTAATTAATTGTAATTGATGGTATAATACTAGTGTTAAAAATAACTGTAGTTTGCATGGAAGATAAACTTTGATCTTTAAATATTTAGGCCATTTCAACCAGTCTTACACACACACCCATGCAAATATAAATTCATACCTCTCGTGGAACTGCCCGTTTAGGTTCAACTTCTCTACCATCTACTTTATGAGGTCGAGCAGCTTGAGCATCATCAACCATGTGTGCTTTCTTATATGTAATGAAACCAAAACCTCGAGACTTTTTGGTGTTAGGATCTCTCATCACCACACAGTCAACAATTTCTCCCCACTGTTCAAAGTGTGCCTTGAGAGAATCTTCTGTCGTTCTGTAATCAAGGCCTCCAATGAAGAGCTTACAATACTGTTCAGGCTCCATATCATTCTAAGAGTTAAAAATATAAAAATATGTATGAATAATTAAGTATCTTGGAAATTTATTGCAACTCTAACATTTTCAATTTAAAAACTTTTTCTTGCAAGACTTGGCAACAGTAACCAACAATGTCTATTAGTTGAATACTAAAATTGATAAGTACTCGGGTCATTACTGAAAATTTTACCCTATGTACACAGCTAGGACAAAGTAAGCATGTCACAACCTTTTAGTTATATTCAAAATTTATTAAACAACTTCATTATTAATGCATATCAATAAACTTGGCATGAAAACATACTTTATAAATCCAATGGAAATGTGTAAATAAATTCTTAATCTTCAATTCTGTGTATCTCGTGACACTTCCTTGCACCGAGCTGCTTATTTTAGACACTTTCCACACCTATTTGAGCTTTATACCAATAATAGACATATGCTACAGGCATTGCTATGATAATTTTATAGCATCTAATCTTCGTGCTTTACTGGAATATGAACCAGAAAGTAAAACCCACTTAACACATCCTCCTATCACATACTGTCTTTCAAAAAAACATCAATAAATCTCTAAAGTTTGGTATTACATTATTTATAAGCAATAGGAAGAGAAAATTTTAATTAAGTGATTTATGTATACTATAAGGCTATCTCATTCTGACAACTTCTGAATAATTTGGTCTACAGACTCACATTTCCAGGTTGTCTGTAAGGCTGTATTGGTTGTCCAAAAACAAACAGAACACAGACCCTCAAAAAAAGACCCAATTACAATAATCTTGATGCTTTTTAATGTTTAGTTGGCAATTTTGCATCTTTATCCAACTAATTTTGATGCCTTATTTCGCTACACTGGAAAAAAATAAGCCCAAACCCTGCTAATGTTACATAGTATCTTAAAGAAAAACAGTCAATGACAACAGGACAGCGATCTTGGACAACTATTTTTAATGTTTTTATTCTAACCATCTTGGCTCACCCATCAGGTACAGTAAAGTATTGCCTGCATTAAGACTAGACTTGTATTGGAACTCTCACACATACTACTATACCATAATACATACACAATGTCTGAGCACTGTTCATGTAAAAACACACACTGCTGATATGTATTGTTGTTCATACTTAGTTTATATTGACCTAGAGAGAGTCAAAGATAGTCTTACTTTACTGTTATTCTGTTTTGTACTGATCAAAACTTTCATAAAATTTTGCTTGCAGTTATAATTGTTTAATTCATGGATTCTCCCATTTCTCTCACATTAGCTAGGCCTTGCATATTTCCTAGAATCGATGGTTGTGTCTAACGTTAGGCTTGGACCTATACACGAATAATCAAAAGCGGGTAAGTGTTGCAACTGTGACAATTAATGATGAAAATTCTGGGTTTGATTTTCTAAATTTGATCATTTTAGTTCCTACTGAAGGTTTATCAGTAAGAAGTGAGACAGCTATGTTAGTTTTATTGTCTTAAGCAATTATACTGGAAATCTTATTAAATAACGTGTTATCGGCATCTGTTTTCGTTGCAAATTCCCACCCACCCACGTATGCATACAAAGACTGTGCAATACAATGTGTGGTAATGTAACTAACTGAGCTGTATGCACAGTACTGTATTACCACATATAGCCATTCATGCTCATTTGAACTCTATAAAAAATTTTCATACATAAAGCAGCATAGAGGCACATCTTGTCCATGACAGAAAGTTTTGAAATTAAAACAGCATTGTTAACCAATCACAAAAACAAGCTTTTCATAACATTTTCAGCCCGTTTCAGTGAACTGTACCAGCATTCTCTCTTGTACAAAATACAATCTTTTTTAAACAAAAAAAAAATGGACCAAAAGATATTTTTGTGGGGATTCAAATGTTTGAGTTCTTAGTCCAGGAATTTACAGATGAATTTGGTAGCAGATGTGGTGTGGGCATTAATATTTCAGAATTTCTTGAAGGTTTTATGGTAGAGAAAATAACACAAATTTTACTGAAAAAACAATACATTCATTTAAGAGTTTCTAGAACTTATGGAAACGAAATTGGAAAACTAAGGTGAAAAAATATTTTTATTCTCGACAAGAAAAATCACCTTGCACTCCGACTAGTCACAGTCTGACTTTATAAATTCACTGACAAATGTTCAGTAAAAACACTGCTTTATTGTGTACAATAAACTTGTACAAACGTTTGTAACTGTTGAAAGTAGTAGTACTCAATATAAATTACAATGAAAAAAAAAACCACCTCTACAGCATATGTACCACAATTACATTATATGCACAAAGTTTACACCATAGAAGCACCAACACTATTGAATTAGAAAAACAAGAGAGAAATCTACCTACCCATTCCTAAAAGAATGGGTTATTGACAGAATACATTTTTAAGTCTTGTCTTAAGAAATAATACTGTCTTACTAGAACAAATTCTGAAGACAGTTACAAGGATATCAGGAGAGGAAGTGTTCTTGCATAGGTTATTATCCCCAATTTTCTCTTGATAAAAAAAGGATTAGGTATGGTTTTATTGAAGTTTATAAGACTATCAAGGAGAGAAATAGGATTAAGGCTCCAATTTCTGTATACTATCTTCTGAAGATGATAGGACATGAAAACAGAAGGTTACAATTTGGAAAAGATAAGCTTGGCTCCAGGTAACTCTCTCAGCACATGCTCAGTCCTAGGGACCAAACTTGTAAACATTTTGTGCTTATAGTTTTCATGCTATAACTTTTAAATTAGTAAGCCTATGTTCACAAAATTTGGCAGATTATCAGTAAACACAAAATATCAGATACATTTTTATGAAGTGTTAAGTTTCCTTATGCCTTTTTTCTCAAATCTTGACTATCCAACATGCAAAGTAATTTTGATTTTAAGATTAAAAATACTTTTATGCATCAGAAAATGTTCAAATTTCACATGCAAAATTTATATAGCCCCAAGATAATTATCAAATGTTTTTTAAGAATTTTTATTTTATTTTATCTGTTATTTTTCACTATCAAATCTCTGAACGGGTTTGGTCAATTTGACCGACCTCATAACTACCATAAGAAATTAGAAAATAAATATAAATTATGCTTTTTTTGTTCTAGAATGATGACAAATTATAACATGAAAACACAAATGTTTAGTCTAAATAGCTTAAATCTCATAAAATTATACATTATATACATTTATTATGTTGATCTTTCAGCCGTGCCTGGCTCACAACACAAAAGTTGCAATTAAGCGGCGCAAATGCACTTATGTTACCATATTCAATAATGTAAAACTGGCCTTTACAAAGTGAAAGTCTTGGCTGTGTTCTAGTGGACCAGTATTTTTTAAAATACAGTAACATTTCAGTTATAATACATTATATATGCATATACATTATTACTATTTATAAACAAGTTCTTAAATTTCAGTTATTTTTCTTAAAACATAGAACACTAAACAATGAAGTATAGCAAACAACTATTTCGTCTAGTTGTGAACTTTGTACTCATTTGCTGCTTACCATAGGGTGCTAAGCCTTTTCAAATTTTTGCACTTGGAGGATGTGAAATTTTTTAAGGCTTTCTTTTAAAATGCCCAATAGACTGATGCTACTCAAGTCAACTGAACTAGATATTATAAATAAAATCTTGATGTTTGAGAGATAAAAGCTTGTGCTAAACTTCTCTGACTGTCCAGCAGGTAAAAGATACACATGTAAAAAGGTAATGAGGGCAGGCAATAATCTTTACCAAACAAATTAACCCCGTGATAACTGGATCTATTTAGACATAAATGCACTGACAGCCAGTCTTACCTGCTCCATCCTAGATTATGTTCTACCAATCATCAATATTAATGATACCATGTCACAAGATTTTAGTGACTTACATTCAATATTTTATTGATCTACTTTTTGTTTATGTTATACCAATTAGTATAGCATAAAACTTACCTAATAATCCAATTTTATTAGTATATAAATTTTAAGTTCTTAATTTTATAAGGCAATATTTAAAAACATCCTGAATTTCCCCTAGTGACACTTGACATTTTCTCTAGGTATCTCCTCTTCTCTATTTCATCCACCATCCCTCCAATAAGTAATAAGTATGGACTTTCAGAAACTCACTATAAAATCATTATTGCTCAGACAACCCATAATTTTTATAGTTTTCAATTTTGTTTCATTACAGAGCCATCAAACAGAAAATCAGACCTCTCTTGCCACACCCTCTCCTTCAGGATTTGTTAATAGTTCTCTGTTACATTTAATTGTATATTATCCATAACCAATAGAAAGCCAAGATTTTCATCTATCAAATGACATTAAATGTTTTCTGAATGGAGAATTGTCAATTTCACTGTTAATACAAGCTTCTTTCCCATTGGAAAGATAATGACTAGCTTAGATGAATTTGTAATAATTTATGTCACACAGTCTGAAAGCCAGAAAAATTGTGATAGGTAGGGGAAATTATCTACTTTTTGCATGTTATTATTCTGTTCTTTACATTATTTAATTAAATAAAAATTATTTAGTGCATTACTACTACTACTACTAGTACTAACTAGGGTTAACTGTCATCAATAGCAAGAAAAAAAAATGTGGGTAAGTTCTACATTTCTTGTTATAAAAGTAACTAAAATGTAAAGATAGAGGTCTCTTTAGGTTAATTAAGGTTGGATTAGATAAAATAAATAATAATATAATACAAATGCTTCATGAGGCATGCTCCCAAGCAGCTTGTTGGTAATGTAATTCGATAGCATAACATAAGCTCCATGTTCCCCAAATGATTTACAACTTACAATGCAGTGAATAGTAGTTACACAGTTCAAAGGGCAATTAAACAACAAAATTCAATTACAAGTAGGTGTGTACTGTTACAAGCTTAAAACTACTTAGGAAAAACGATTGTAGTTTCATGTTACAATTTGAAATCATTCTAGAAAGAAAAACATGGTAATTTAGATTTACCTTGACCTTTTCTGAGGGCTAAGAGGTCGGTCAAATTGAGTTA